CCGGGCTGTCCCCTCGGCCGCTCCCCGGCCTCTATGCCCTCAACGGGGCGGCGGCCGCGATGTGGCGGCTGCTGCTGGGTCGAAGCTGGGGCCGCTGCGGGCCGACCCCCGCCCGGCCCGCCTGCGCCCCCGGGCTGGGCCAGGGCCGCGGGCACAGCCCCGAGCGGTGAGTGCGAGCCCTGCCCGCGGGTGGGGGGCCCCGCGCCGCGGCCCGGCCTCACGGGGCCCGTGTCTGTGCTTGTTCCAGGGCGCCCGCGTGTGAGGATGGCCCGGAGCGAGGAGAGAGGCGGCAGCCGCTGCCCCGCCTGGTGCCCCGCTACTCCGTGCTGGAGGCTGTCACCTGGGTGAGGAGCGCGCCCTGACCCTGCCGGGACACCTCGGGGGGTGGGAGCCCCAAAACAAAGCCGGGGGCGAGGGGCTGGGTGGAAGCGGGGCGAGAAGAGGGGTCGGGGCTGTTTTCCGTGACTCGCGTGTGGTTCTGTGCAGGGAGCGCTGGGCGCGCTGCTCCTGCAGCTCGTCAGGCAGGTGGCGTGGCTGAGGTCGCTGCCGGACGCCCGGAGGGAGCGGAGGTGGCCCTGGCTTTCCCCGCTGCCCCCCCAGCACACAGGTCAGCTCCGGCCGCGGGGAGTGGGAGGCAGCCGGGTGGGGTTTGTGCCTCGTGGTGTGTCAACCAAGGCTGAGAGGGAGCTGGGAGATTTCAGGCTCTCTGGGAAGAGTGAGGGCTGGTGTCTGTCGAGGGAACCTCTGCTTCTTAACGATATGATGCAATCCCACTTTGCTTAACCTTCTGTTAATCCCTTACCTTTGATTTCCGCCCTGGATTCCTCTCGGTGAACTCTCCTCCTGCTTGGCTGTGAGAAGTTCATTCAGTAGATCCGGTGTTGTTGCCTAAAGCAGACAGTTTTTGTGCTCTGTGTTACAGTGGTGACTGAAGCCTCAACCAGCTGTCCCAGTGAGCAGTTGGGGTCCCAGTTCCTGCAGAGAGCAAGTCCAGAGGCCACAGCAGAGAATTCATCCTCAGGCATCCCCTCAGGGCAAGGAGAGAGCCAGCCTTGGGCAGAAGTAGGTATGTGCAATGTGCTGCAGGGCAGGGTACTTGTGGCAGAAGGACTTTGGAGTTTCCCCAAGGCAAAGCTCGAAGCCAAGGAGTGTGTAGCCACTTACTGACCCTTGAGGAGGTAGGTGAGACTGGGAACACAGAACTTCAGAGAGGTGAATCAGGAGTCCAGAGACAGGAGGAAAAAGATCTCCTGAGGGCAGTGACAAGCCTGTGCTGTAGCTGCAGGTGACAACAGCTTTACCAACAGTGCTCTGCCTTAGTGGCTTGATTATAGCTCCATTTCTGTCCTCTTATTGTGGACAGATGTCTGCAAGCCAGAAGGATTCAGGAGGATACTGTACCACTGATCTGGGTGACTTGTGTACATGGTGTGAAACTAAAGGAATTCTTTCCTTCCTGCAAGATGAGGATGGATCTCTGAGCGCTTATGCTGTAGATAAGACAGTGGAAGGAGGTATCAAAGACATTATTAAAATGAGTTTTATAAAAATAGAAAGATATACTCCAACAAAATTGAAGTGTGTCCTACATAAGAAATTCAAAGTCACACCAAGGGAGATCAGATGAGACCTACAGCAGGGCTACTCACTAGATACATAAATACTAATGATGGCCTCAGGAAAGTTGTTAGAAGCAGGAAGCCTGCTGGAGCAGGTAAAAACGGGGACAACATATGATCATGGTGTAGAAGAGGAACATAAGAAAACCAGCCAGGAATGTTGGCTAAATCATAGAATCACAGAAGGGTTTGGGTTGGAAGGGACTTTAAAGATCATCTTGTTCCACCCCCTGCCACAGGCAGGGACACCTTCCACCAGCCCAGGTTGCTCCAAGCCCCATCCAACCTAGCCTTGGACACTTCCAGGGATTCAGGGGCAGCCACAGCTTCTCTGGACAACCTGTGCCAGGGCCTGCCCACCCTCACAGGGAGGAATTTAAATAATGAAGGTGTTGCAGAGAAGGTCAGGGGTGTTCCCCATTTTTTTGTTTCTTTCAGAAGTTTGGCTTTATTCTGTGCTCATTTAAGCTACTGCCCATCTCTGCTTATCAAACCCTTCTCCTGCCAGAGGTTACCATTGCCATCAGTTGGCAAATGGAGCATTTTGTTTCCATGTCTCCTAATTAACTCCAGGAAACCAGCCAGGTTAATTTACCTAAACTGCCAATTAGGCTGTTTAACCCATCTGCTTTTGCCTGGAGCAGATTAAGAAGCACTCAAACACTGACTGCCAGGTGACTGGACACGGAGCTCTGGGAGGAGTGGTGGGAAGAAGGGGAGACAGCAATGCCTTCACTTGGCACAGCTGAACATTCCAGAGTGAATGTGTGTCTGACAAACAGTTTCCTGCTGAGAGTCAATAGGAAGAGCTTTTAGGCAAACTGATAAATTGAACAGTGACAAGTCACTAAGGCCACGTGGTCTTTGTTCAGATGTTCTTCAGAAGCTGGGAAATGGCTGAGCCTCCAATGATGATCTGTAATCCTAGGCTCAGATCTGCTCCATGACCAGAGGAATGAGCACTGACAGATTGGACTCAGGCTTTTAAAAAGGGCTGGGTGTGTGTTTGTTTGAGCCACAGAACTGCAAAAAAGGTAATTCTAATTTGATGGAAAATCTGATAGGGAGTAGAGGTGTCAGATACCAGGATGAGATAGATGTCTATGATGTGCTGAATCACAGGTCTTGGAAGGATTTAGTAAGCCGTTTCTCAGGCCAACTTGCTCCACTGCAGAGACTTAAGAGAGTTGTAAATCTATTAAGAGTTCTTTGGAGAAGTCAACAGGCATGTGGGGCAAGATTATCCAGCCTTTAGCTTTCAAAAATCTTTCAGACAGGACCTAAACCAAAACTGCCTGGAGAATCAAAGCTGATGTGAGGGAACACGGAGGGGCTGCTCTTGAGCTTGTAACTCCTAAAAGCACAAGGAATAGTTTTCACCATGCAGAGCTTTTCCTGGTGGATTGCCCACAGTCCTTTGCTGAAACCTGTTCTGTTCAGCACAGTCAGCAGTGATTTGGAAAAAGGAGGTGACAAGTGAGGTGACAGAAGCAGCAACTGGTACAGAATTATTCAGCACAGTCAAATGTGAAAGTCACAGCAAAAGACTGCACTAGAACTAAACCCAGGGTAATCCCAAGGGGGGTTAAATGAGTGTACACAGGGGAGTGTGCCTGTAAATACAGGTGCAGAATGAAGAGTGTCAAATTAATAATTGTGTTGCAGAGGGAACATTTAAAGCCACTGTCGATGTGCTTTTGATAAGGTTAACTCAGTGCTCGGCAGCATTGAGGGCAATTAAATGTTAATTATGGTAAAGGAAGGAGCTGAGGACAAGGCAGTGTCGTGGGTTTGTGTGAGTCTGGGATGCAGCCATGTCTTGAACACTTAAAAGGCACTGAAAAATGAGGACAAAATTGGCAGAGAAAAGAGCGACAAGGAGACAATTACATCCAAATAGAGACTGACTCTTCAGCTTTAAAAAAAGGAAGTGGCAAAGGGTGTGTTTGCTGGTGCTCTGTGAAACTAGAAATGTTGAGAGAAAGTGAATAGGGACAATATTTTTCATAATCCACTCATTAATAGCAGCGCAAAAGCGCACAGATAGCAAGTTTGGAAAAAAGCAAAAGGCTGTAAATGCTTGGCCAGTGCACAGGTAAATTGTGGAAGTGATTGCTACAGGCCAAAATATAAGTGGGTTCCAAGAAGTGATTAGGTAAAATTGCACCTTCAAATTAGACTTAATTGGTCCAGCCAAACCTCCTGCTCAGATCACAGAACAGCTGATTGCTGGAAAGTTCTGCCAGGGAGAGTGTGACTTTATAATCCCTGTTCCTTCCCCTTTCTGCCCAAGCATCTCCAACTGTCAGTTGTCAGAGATAATATATGTCAGAAATAATTTGATTTTGCTCAAGACATAAGTCCTCAGGTTCCATTGCACATTATGCTGTGCACCCATTTTGTGGGAATTTATTGAGAGAAGTCAGGGTGAAGAGCCCTGAAGAGCCTGAAAAATTGCATAGTTGTGTCATGTGAGAAGTCCTGTGAATCTCTCCGTGCAAAGTGAAGCTCAGTGATCCCTTTTTCCCAGAATACATTTTGCTTTCTACAGGAGACCCTACCTAAGGTAGAGGCTTTTTTTTTTTTCCTGGTATTTAGCTCCTGACAGAGGATGAGGCTGGCAGAGCCAGAGTGTGGCAGGAAGCTGGGGAGAGCAGAAGGAAGGGAAGGACAGACGCCTGGTGGATGACGCAGAGGAATCTGGTGGCAAAGCCTTGCCATGAGAGAACAGACCTCAGAACTCTCAGTGGAGCAGAATGTACCTTCCCTGCCCCAGTTTGCTGTTGCCAGCGATGGCAAAGGATCTTCTGGAGAGAATTCCATGTCCTTCCCCTTTCTCTCAGGATTTTCAGTTCATTTCCAGACCTGCTGGTGCTGCTCTCCATGTGCAGTGACTATCTGCTGTTGCTGTCACTACCTCCAGGAGCAAAGATCTGGGGGGGATGGATCCCAACATTCCAGCGTCGCAGATGAGCCATTCCAGTTTTAATGTAGCAAAATGCCATAGAATTTATTGCTTCAGTGTGTTTTAAAAGAAAACTTTGGGAAATTAACTTAAAAGTTGCTTTAAATAGCACTCTGGTTATTGCTATCAGCAGGTCCTCAGCTGTATGTTTACATCCTTTTTTTTTCATGCAATTCCTGCCTCACTTGAAGCCTTTTTGCTGGAAGTTAAAGGCACATAGTGAGCAAGCAGGTGATTACAGCCAGTCTCAGTGTTACAGCAGCTGAATGCTGCCCTGGGGAGTTGTATTTTACCCCTGGCAGAACTGTAAAATTCGTTATTTCAATTCCGAGATTACAGACATCGCAAAAGTGTGTTTTCATTTCAAAGCACAATGAAACCAATTGGAAACACTGAAATTTTCCATGAGGCAGAAATGCTGGAATTTGTCCAGCTCTTGTTGTGACTTCATTCTCGTGAAGCCTTTGGATGTTTTGGGATGAGCAATCTAGAACTGTCTCTGAGAAGATTATTAATTCCTCATTTGGAGCTAGATGTGAGCAACATTTCATTAGTCCAGGATGAACAGTGGGGAAAGACAAAAATATTTATTAACTGCTGAATATGTGAGTGCTGGGCATCCAGAACACTAGAAAAAGGATGTGTACTCATGTTACATCATAGCATATGTTTGAAGAAGTAGAAACCAAATTGCACAGAAAATTCCGGCTGTGGAATTCCCAGCTTTTGCACCTACAACCTGAAGAATAATTTAACGTGGTTCTGTGTGTGCACTGTAGCGATGGGTTTCTGCAAAGGCTGGAAAGTTCTGCTGGAAGCTTGAGAAATAAGGAGCAGTTGGGTGAACTTGTATTAACTAATGTCAGGATGAAGTTTAGTTTAAGCTGCTTGTCTCATTCTGCTGAAGGGATTCTTTGCTGCTGGGGGTGTTCTTGAGGAGTTCTGATTTGAGGCTTGCCCAGCTCAGAGGTGAGCTCTGAGGGAATTCAGGCCCTGGCACAGGTTGCCCAGAGAAGCTGTGGCTGCCCCTGGATCCCTGGAAGTGTTCCAGGCCAGGTTGGATGGGGCTTGGAGCACCCTGGGCTGGTGGAAGGTGTCCCTGCCCATGGCAGGGGTGGAACGAGATGAGCTTTAAGGCCCCTCCCAACCCAAAACAGTGTGGGGTCCTTCAGGAGGTGGGGCTGGGTGCCAGGATCAGTTGGTTCCTGTGTTTTCTTCCAGATGCTCTCTGGGAGAGGTAACTGCTCTGGGGAGATCACTGGGGTTTGAGTGAGGGGGGTTTTCCAGTGGGAGAGGGGAACAAGGTGGTTCTGCAGTCTGACAGAATTCAGAGTTAGTGGCTGTTTATTTTTCGTGGTTTAATGGTTTGTCCAAATTACTGCATGCTTTACTCTGATTTAGGAGTAGATGTCTGTGCAAAATGTAAGGTTTCCTAAAAGCATGGAGGTACTGATGTTGTTTAAACAAGTACTGGGAGAATTCTTAACACAGACGGATTTTTTTTCATGGGATTTGCAGTTGTATGTGTGGCAAAAACCCAAATTACATCACCAGGGAGATACCTGAACAAGAGATAGAGCCTTGCAGTGAGAAAGATCAGATAATTTGGTGCCTGATCTGAAAATAAATGGAAAGCACAACTAATAAATTCACAGATTATGCTACTTTTGGTGGAATGATGCATAGAAATTGTGTTTGCCAGAGCGATGTTGCCTGTTGGGTGAGTGGGGCTTGTTCAGATAAAATACATTTTAATACAGCCAGAGGGGAGTTGTTTGTCTGAGAATAATGAGGCTGCAGCTGGCACAGAGGCCACGGCTTCCTGCACATTGTGACATGGTCCAGGCACTGCAGGGAGCAATCCTGCCTCTTGCACCCCTCATTCCTGCTGCTGTGCTGGCACAAGTGCTTGAGTAGCCAAATAGTGCCAGGAATTAAGGAATCAGGCCCTAAAAGGACATTTTTTTTTTTGCTTGTGTTGGCTCCCTGCTCTGCAGCTGCACAGCTTGAGAGGAGGCAGGAAGATGTGGGGAGGGCACAGCTCGTGTGAGCAGCTCTGGCTCAGAGTGATCCAGGGTCCAGCACCTGGTGTTAAATGTCCAGTGGGATCCAGGGGAGGGTGGGGTTTCAGATTAAAAATACTTGGCCTTGCCTGTCCTCTGTGTGGAGGTCACAGTCCTCTTAGAGGAGCTGGAGTAAATGCCTGTGTAATCACTGCCAGCACAAATGTGTGCCCAGCAAGGTGGCTCAGCCTGTGCTGGAGATGCCTCTGCTAGATAATTCTGATTGAAACTGGGCAGACAGTGGCTGGACACGGGGTTGTACCAGTGTATCTGCACTGATGCAGCTGTGAGCTGGGGGGGATAGTGGGGGATAACCAGAGCCTGCATCTGATGCAGCCAGATAAGGTGTCTGATCATCGCCTTGTGTCCCATGGGAAGAAATTACCTGGGAAAGGAGCTAGGGAGGCAGGAGCCTCAGCTGACATGCCCTGGGCATCACAATGGGGTTCCAGTGGGAACTGGAGCACATGCAAACCAGGCAGCTAGGAATTTGCATGTCCCCCTGTGACACTAGTGAGAGGGTCTGTACTTCAGTGACAATGCTCAAAATTCAGGAATAGTGGCAGAAAGTCATAAAATTAATCAACTCTGGCAGAAAAGTACTGCAGTTAAAAGACATGAACTGCACAGACTGTTTAGAATCACAGACAGGAATCAAGAGGGGTTGATTAGTCGTGTCAGGGCTTTCAAAAGGAGGAATTGGCTTCTTAGTAAAGAGGAAGAAAAAAACCCAGAAGAGCCAGTGCCTGGGAGCAGAAACCAGTTGTATTTTAATTTGAAAGGAAGCACAGAGGTCTGAAGCAGCAATTACAAGTTAGTGGAACACACTTTTAGAAGAAATGGGAGATCCTCAACCTTTTGGTGTCTTCCAACCAAAGCCAGGGGCCTTTCTGGAGGGGCTCTGTAACCAGCTGCAGCCACAGGGCTGGATTCCTGTGGCACATGGTTGCTTTGCTCCAAAGGTCAGATTGGTTGGTGTTCTCTCTCTTTTAATGTCCCTGACTGATGGGAGATGAGTTCTTCAGGTAAGAGCTATGGAACGGAGAGGATGGGAAGAGGCAAAGATGCAGCACTGCTTAACCTTGCTTTTTTTGTTCTGTGTTTTTTTGGTTTTTTTATGTAGGGGAGTTCCAAATCCCTGCAAGCTCCAGTGTGGGGCCACTTCTCCACAGTGCAAAGGTATTGTTTCATGGTTCACACCCTCTGTCTGCACCCTCCCTGCAGGAAAGAATCCCAGGGCCCCCCCAAGCACGGCCTGAGCAATACACTCACAAACATGACTGTTCTCTGGAACAAGAAAGGAGATGTGATATGCTGCCCTCTGCTTTAGCCAGAGCAAAGTTCCAGGAACTGCACACTGGCATCCCCATCCTTTCAAGTGTCTGTGTAAAAGGGCTGCTGGTGGCGAACCACTGAAGGAAAATGGAGAAAAACACCAAAACAAAGAAACAAACAAAAAAAAATCACCAAGAACCCTAATCCAGCAGTACCAGTCTGTGCCTGTGTATTTGCATTTTGATGCAATCTTTCATTGGGTGTTCCTATGCTGTTGCTATTTTGTTTTTTACCAGACAACCCATGACTGGAGAAAGTGGTGTCATTGCAAACACTGCATATCAGGGCTGGCTCTTGTCTGGTGTAGAGGGGCTTGAAGAGAGTGCATCATCTTGAGATCACAAGGCCATAGATTATATTATTGTTCTTGTGATTAAACCTGCTAATTCCTTGCAATTCATAGTCTTAGATGCAGATAATTCCCTGTTTTAATCAGTCAGCTGAACAATTGCTCAAGGACACTGGGAGCAGAGCAGAGGTAAAGTCAGCATTTACCAGAGCAGGTTCCTGAAAAAGGCACCAAAAAGGCTTTTCCTTGATCTGCTGAGGGGGTGAGTGTGATCTGCCCATGCTGGGAGGTGCCAGCGGGGCAGGGCTGTAGGAAGAGGCTGGAGCAGGTGGTGGAGCAGGTGTGGGAGGGGAGCCCCGAGTGCTGGCCACAGTGGGGCAGTTTGGTGAGTCCCTGTGCAGTGAGCGCTGCTGCCACTCGATGGCACTCGGGGCATGTGAGCTGCGGGCCCGGCTGAGCCTCCTCCCACCTCCCGGGGCCGTGCTGGAGGGAAACGTGCTGTTCATTGTCTCTACCAGGCAGCGTTTCATCACCGGGCATTGCTGAGGGAGGGCCCGGCTGGAACCGGGAAAGCACGTATGGATATGTGAGCGTGTGTTGGCAGGGACTGTTGTGTGGGCACGATGTGGGAGAGGGAATAAGGGGTAAGGTTAATTTTGGACAGGGAAGTTATCATAGAATCACAGAATAAATGTGCTGAGTTGGAAGGGACCCACAAGGATCATGGAGTCCAACTCCTGGCCCTGCACAGGACACCCCAGCAATCTCCCCCTGTCCCTGAGAGTGTTGTCAAAACCCTCCTGCAGCTCTGGCAGCCTTGGGGCTGTGCCCACTGCCCTGGGGAGCCTGTTCAGTGCCAACCACCCTCTGGGGGAAGAACCTTTTGCTGAGATCCACCCTGAGCCTGCCCTGACACAGCTCCAGCCATTCCCTGGGGCTGTCCCTGCTCACACAGACCAGAGATTGGAGCTGCCTCTCGGGAGGAAACTGCAGATTGCAATGAGTAGTATCAGGTATTTGCTGAATCCTGAAAGATCTGATGATGTCCAGGAGGCTGCACCAAGCTCCCTGGCCAGAGGGGAGGTGAGCAGTGTCCATACAGCTTCCCTAGGTAGATGGCTGTGTAGGACAGGGAGATGTCTTTCATGGACACCTGACACCAGATGACATCACCTCCCTGGTAACTGTAATACAGCACAAACGGTCTCACTGCTCCTTTTCCAAGCAGGAGTCTCCTGTAGGGTTGATATGATTTTGCTGCCTTAACAGCTCTCTTCTTTAACTCCTCAGGGTGACCCAGCTCAGCGAGGGCATTTAGAGGAAGCCGCTTTCCAATTGCAGCAGATTTTCCGGATTGATATTTCCATTGCCTTGAATATCCTCGGTAATGTGGACTTGGGTTTGTTTTGCCCTTAAACCACAGGTTTCTCATTCTGGAGGACCTCCAAAGCATTGCAGGTCTTGTGTGAAGGCAGAGATGGCATATGCCCAAGCTGAAGCCTCCTTTCAGCAATTTTAACTGTGCTCTGAGAGATTTATTGCCCTTTGTCCCATCCTGCCACCAGATTTATATCAGCATGTTTCAGTCCAGGCTTGGTTGAAGCCTACATTCTTGTCCTGACATCTGTAGTTGGAAATTAAGCCATCTCTGTCTTTTTTGCAACACAAGATGTCACATCCTCGTATCCTTTTTTATTGTCTGAGCTCATGGTCTTTCTGGCAAGCTGAAAAAGCAATTGCAGAATTGCAAGTCTAAGAAAGGCTGAGGGGAGAGGGAGTGATGTAAGAAAAGTCCCTGCCCTACATACACCACTGGTTGCAGCCCTGAAGAGCAGTGTGGCCATACGCTGTGTTAGCCGTGATCCCTCTTTGTAGCGAGGCTGGAAAAATCCCCAAAGTGCAGCATTGCTGTTTTCCTTGTGGAAACTCTGGAGTGAGGGTTCTTGAGCCAGCTGGGAAGTGGCCCAGAGCACTTGGCATGAGCCAAGGAAGGCTGGGTGGCGGAGGGGGAGATCGCTGCCTTCGGGGCCAAGCTTGACCGTTGCATTCGCCCTGTTCTGACGTTGTGTTCTCCTCAGGGGTGGAGAGCATGAGGGCAGGGCACTGCAGGACAGGCTTCACCTGCTTCAAACTGGCTGCTGATCGGGGCTACAGCAAAGCCCAGTTCAACGTGGGCCTGTGCTACGAGCATGGCAGAGGCACGGAGAAGGACCTGGAAAAGGTATCCGTGGCTTGTAGGGTTGTGTGTGTGCAGCACAGACCAGGAGAGTGCTCTCTGTTGAGTGCTCGGGAGCTTTTTCCTTGTATGGGATTGTCATGGAATATCCTGAGCTGGAAGGATCAAGTCCAACCCCTGGGCCCGCACAGGACACCCCAACAATCCCACCCTGTCCCTGAGAGCATTGCCCAAATGCTCCTTGAGCTCTCTCAGCCTTGGGGCCAAGACCACTGCTCTGAGGAGCCTGTTCCAGTGCCCAGGCTCTGGAGACTTCGTAGAAACTGCTGGAAATAATATAAATTGCAGGTTTGCAGAGCTGACTTCAGTGCCATCGCTCCCCTCAGAGATGTGCTCCGAGATTCCTTTTCCCACAGCTTCTGAGGGCTTCTCCAGGTGCACAGGCTGTGCCACCAGCACCCAGAAGGGGACCAAGGAGAAACCTGTCATGTTGCTGTACTTAAGGCACCACTGCACATCCGAGGGCTTCCTAAATCTCCAGTTTGGGAATGGTAACTAGAGCCTGCCACCTAGTGCAGGCTGGCTGCAGCCAACAGCTGCTGGAACTGGGAAGAGCTGCAAAAGCAGCTTCTTTTGAGTAACTGTTGGTCTGGTGCCACCCCCTTCAAGTTGGGGAGGTTTGAGTAGAGCAGGCAGGGTGGTTCCAGGGCTCTGGAGTAGTCACAACCCACTGTCTGGTTTAACAAAGCTGTTCCTCAGCAGGGAGGGGTGGCAGAGCTGCGGGGGGAACCATGTGCAGCTTGTGATGGATCTAAACAGGGGTTAAGCTTCACCTGCCCAGAGAGGGGTCACATCATCTTCCAGGGCATATATTACCTGGCTCACACAGGTGGGTTTCTCTCTTTGCAGGCAGCTCTTTATTACTGCCACGCTGCCAGCAGCTGCCACGCCATGGCCCAGTACCGCTACGGGAGGTACCTCCTGGAGCACAGCCCTGGCCAGCGGTGGGACAGGCTCCAGAGGGCCCTGACATTCCTGGAGCGAGCAGCAACGGCTGGCATCACAGAGGTCAGTGTCTGCAGCCTGGGGGGTCACGGGAGAGAGCCAGCAGAGAACCCTAACTGAAGGGCTTGAGCCACAGGACATCCTAGAAAGTATTGTTTGTGGGACTAGAAGCAAAACTGTTCCAACATACAGTCGGGGGGGCTGGAACTAGGTGATCTTTAAGGTCCCATCTAACCCAAACCACTCCGTGGTTGTCTGATTATAGATTTATATTCCTGGCAGTGTTTGGGAGACAACCCTGCCTGCACATGGGAGCTGGGTACCAGCTGTATCAGCACACTGAGTGTCTGTTTTTAATGTGGCTCTTAGATCGGAGCATTGGCTTAAGAGAACTGACCTACAGTTGAAAACATGCTCAGTGTTCCATCTCCTCTCAATTCCAAGTGTTGCTTTGCTGGAGGAACTTCCATGAAATGGTTGAAGAACAGATCCTCATTTTGTAGCTGTGACTTGGGAGATGACTCATCCCTGTGGATCTGTGTACCCTGCCCTCCTTTCCCTCTCTCCAGGAGATGCATTTAGGCCCATGTGCCATCTTCTGCTGTGAGTGCCAGTCGTGCTGGCAGTGCCTGTACCTCCTGTGCCACCCTGTTCCAGGAAGTGAATCTGCTGGATCTCATGGACAGCTCATCAGTCAAAGCCATTCCCTGGCTCTGCCTCCCACAGTGCAGTTTGAAAGGATATTCTGGCTTTTACAGGGTTGGGCTGGTGATGAGAACTGCATGTGTGGTGGAGTTGATAAATAAATGGGATTTTTTTGTATGTTTACCATGTCAGGCTGATTTTTCCTAGTACAGCCCCCCTTCTCCCAACAGACTCTGCAGCAAGCAGGGTCCTTGGGACACTTGTCTTGCCACAGCATTTGAGCAACTTCTTGCAAAATCAGCAACAGAACTGGAGTAATTAAGGGAGGACAAGCTGGCTGATCTGTACCTGTGATTTTGTTGCAGGCACAGGCTTATCTTGGAGTGTTCTACATGAGGGGGCTGCAGCCCCAGGAAAAGAGGGGTCTGAAGTACCTGCTGCTGGCAGCAAACAGTGGTGTAAGTAATCCCTGTGCAAGCTCTGATTTTCCTCAGTTTGGGATTGTTCCAGGTTATGGTGGCAGATTCCAGGGCTTCTTGGAAAAGGGCCCGAGTGTCAGGATTTTACTGCACAGTGTGAAAGGACAGAGTGGAGTCTTGGTGCATCTTGGAGAGGAAACAGGCCCCAGGCACAGACCCTACAAAACATGGAGATAAAAACAGCCCTGCTGGAGTTCTTAAAGCACCAGTGCTTGTATCCATCCAGCAGACTTTGACACGTTTCCCATTATGGAGCATCTACACCCTCTTCAGTCAAAATCTTTCACTACCATCATTTTTAGAACTTTGTTGTGTCTGTCTCAAATCTGTTCTTCAAAATTGGCCCATTGTTTCTTGCCTTCTGTAGAGAGGATGAAAGGACTATTTCTGGATTCATTTTTTTCTTTGGGGACCTTTAACATACTTAAATACTTGAATCTCCTTTCACTCTTCTCCCATTGTTGCAGTTTCTCCTCACAGGTCGTCTGAATCTCCAGCAATTTTCTTGCTTCCACTTTCTCCCAGTGACCCAGGCTTGTTTTCTTTGAAGGGCAGTGCCACAGTGTGGGCACAATTCTGCTGCTGAACCCTCAGCAGCTCTCGGAGGAGCACAGGTGTGACATCCCACGCTCTGCATCCCACAGTTGTGTTTCCTTACAGCACTGCCACTGTCCCCTTGTTTTCAGCTGCATTGTGAGAGCAAGTTTTTTTCTGAAGAACTTGCTCATTTTAACTTCACTTCCCACAGCTTTTGTGCAATGGAAAATAATGAATAGCCATTCCCTGTTCTGCTGGCTAATAGTTCTGGTTGTGGTGCCCTTTAGTGTGTCCTCTCTGAGTCATTTCTTTTGCAGGCTGCACAGCTCTGGTTTAGTTTGTCTCCCTGTGCAGTTATGCTATTTTACTTTGCTTGTCAGCCTTCTCTCTATTTTTCTAATTCTCCTTTGACCATTTTAAGATGCTTGGACTAAAATTGGACTCAGGATGGAGGTATGCCATGGATCTCACATAATGAGATCCTCTGCTTTGTTCTGTATTCCCTTCCAATAATTCCTGATACTGTTTGCCCTTTTGCCTGACACTGAGCAGTGATTAGATGGTCTCGGGGAACTATCACAGTGTGATATCACAGATTTCTTTCTATCAGCGCTACTGTGCATTTGGCAATACTGTTTCTTGTGTGTCTGTGTTGCCCACTCTTAGTCTTGTGAGAGCTTCTCTAGTTAATTCTGTGTAGTAACTTTGACCACTCTGAACAACATTACATCACTTGCAAACTTTGCCGGTTGGGTTTTCACCCTCCCTCTAGAGTGCAGACACTGTCAGGTCACTGGTGGGACTAGGCCTGACCAGCCACAGCAGCCCAGACATCCTGGTACACAGTATTTAGTTCTGAATCTGCTAAAGATCTCTCAGAAGCTGCATCACTGGCCCCTTTCTTCCAGCCTGGAGTCAGATGTGTGTGCTGCACAGTATCAAACTGAATTATCAAACAGATGATTGTCATTTACTGGTAAGCCCTTAACAACACAAAATCTGTCAGGTGCCCCCCAGGAGATCAGTGTTTGGCATGTTTTAGTCACAGCCATGGCAGTTCTCAGACCCCATCCAGCCCTCCCCATCTCTGGTTCCCAGTGGACGCTGGCTGTGGATGTAGCAGAGCCTCAGCTTTGAGGGCAGGGGTTCCCTGGGATGGACCCCCCATGTTCTCCTGTGAGAAGGGTCCATGGGTGTGTTCCTTCCCACTACCCTAGAGCGTGAATTGGTGTTTAGTTGGTTCAAAGGATGCTGGGTATGGGTGAAACAAGGACAGCCCCATTTAGTACAACTCAAAAAAAAAGGCACAGGAGGCCCTGGATTCAATGTTTGCCTGGTTGTTCCTGGGTGCTAGAGCAGAGCAGGGAACTCTGACAAGTGTCCTTCCAAAAATTGCTCTGCAGAGAGCTCTATTCTGCTTTGGTTCCCAATTCCTACCCTCCCATATTTCATAGCCATAGAATATCAAACCCATGTTAAAGAGTGCTGTGGAGAACTGAGCCTGACCTCCCCATTTCCAAGGATATCTCAGTCATTTCTGCCGTGCTAATTTGGGGATCTCCTCTCCTCGCAGCCTTGTGTCTGAGGTGCTCATCCTGGGAGAGGTGGTTGGTGCAGCACTTCTGATTGAACCCTATCTCTTGTCACAGCCGAAGTGCCAATCCTTCAACAAGTTTATCTCATCTCTAAAGGAGTTTATTGCTGTCATAAACTGAGACTTGAAACATTTTGCAAAGCACCCACTCACTGAGTTCCTCACTTGCCTCTACCAGCTACATCCCAGGCAGCAACACTTGCAATATGTTCTTTTCTCGTGGCTTTATTAGAAAACTTGCTACTTGATTTCTTTCCCTTTTTTTCTTGTCTTTCCTTTTCTTTTTTTTTTTTATATCATGTTTCTGGAAGCCATACTGTTCAGGTTGTGCAGCTGCAAAGGTCTGTGTGACCACTAGCCCATGTAGTCTTTTTAAAGTCATCACGACTCATCTTGATTTCCTGCCACCTGAGAATCTTTTCTTCCTGATAGATTTCAGAGATAAAGTGCACAGTTAACACATAAACGTGGCACAGGTTTGGATTAGGCTTCACTGACCCATCTGCAGTGACACTGTTTACTTTGTAGTTCATTCTCAGCACTTACACGTGTCTGAATGGTTCAGGTGTTTTCTCTCAGTGTTTACTTACTTGATTTCATTTCTGCTGCTTGAGATTTCTTCTGCAATAGCATCAGGTGAGACTGAGCTGGACAGTGCATAAGGGCTGTCAAAGGGAATCTTTCAACTCTTGGCAGCAAGTACCTCTGTGACATCTGTTAGTTTTTACAAGATTTCAGTGTGAAGTGTTGCTGGGCAGTCCCAGGGTGTGCTCGGAGTTTGGGTGGGATCAGGATGTGGGTGCAGCCAGGGCTGCCAGAATCCTCTCAGCTCTGACCCCTGAGACAATCAGGATGCTCTGCAGACCCAGCTGTTCCTTTGTTCCCCTGACACAGACCTGGGTGTTGAAGGGAAATCAGTGAAATTAATTGAAAAGGGATAGGAAGGAGCAGAGCTGGGGAGAAATTCTGCTTTGCTGTGTGCTCAGAGGAGGGACTAAAATACTAAATTACTGAGGGATAGAGGGGTAAACTTAAGCTGACCAAAGATTGGAGCAGTAAGCTTTAAAGAAGGTGTTAAAGTCTCTGTGTTCTGTGCTGTTGCTGTCTCTGTCCTGTGCTGTTGTCACTGCTCCCTCTCTCCTGTGCCAGGATGCCCAAAGCAGGTACCACGTGGGTGTTTGCTACGAGCAGGGCCTTGGGGTGCAGCAGAACCTGGCAGAGGCACTGAGACACTACAGGGAGGCAGCTGCTGCTGGGAACAGGCACGCCCAGGAGAGACTGAGGCTGTGGGAAGAGGAGCTGGAAGGTACCACGGGGTGGTGGGGGATGTGGGTCTGCAGGGGGACTGACTCTGTAATAGTGGGGCCTGTATTGCCAGAGGAAGGGCCACAAAGGGCTGTGGCACTAGGGAGTTCTTGTGACTGAAGAGAAGGGGCTACTTTTCAGTTATTTCCACTTCTGACCAGCTCTTTCCAGTCCAGCTGAAGTGGAGAAGCCACTCCCATAGTCTGATGTGTCACAATCATTTAGGCTGGAAAAGGCTTCTAAAATCATTGAGTCCAACCTTTCACAGTGTCAGACAGCTTGGATGGGGCCCTGAGCAACCTGGGGCAGTGGAAGGTGTCCCTGCCCATGGCAGTGGGGTTGGAATGAGATGATCTCCAAGAACCCTTCCAACCCAACCCATTCTGTGATTAATATCTTGTCTTTCTGTCCTTTCAGATGTGCGGACAAAGCATCCGTTCCCTGCAGGAATACGAGCCTCTTCCTCGAGCCCCAGTTTCTGGGCTCTGGAGCCTGTGGCTGCAGGTCTCCCCAGCACCCAGGCAGGGTGTGCCCTCACCCTGCCCCACTCTTGGAGCACTGACAGACTCCATGTGATGCTGCTGAGCAGTGCAGGATGGAGCCGTGCCTTCGGACACAGGACAGTGCCGCTGGAAAGGCAGTTCTGGGAGCCCCACAGCTGCTGTTCCTAGAGCAGGCAGTAAGTGACACCAGCACAGGAGAAGGCAACCCTTGGTCTGTGTGGGGCTGGAAGCAGACTGGCAGGGAGTGGAGAGGGAAAGCTTCCTGTTCATGAACAGGAGCCATTTTTAAGTCCCAGGGGTTTGAGAATAAACTTTGTGATATCCCTACACCACCACATCATCTGCTCCTCTTGCCTTCCCATACAAGGATGTTACTTTATGCACCTACATTTCTGTATAGAGCAATGTAAAGACTCATGGCATGGATTGCCCAGAAAAGCTGTGGCTGCCCCTGGATCCCTGGAAGTGTCCAAGGCCAGGTTGGACGGGGCTTGGAGCAGCCTGGGCTGGTGGAAGGTGTCCCTGCCCATGGCAGGGGGTGGAACTGGATGAGCTTTAAGATCCCCTCCAGCCCAAACCATTCTCTGCCAGTGACTGTTCACTGATGTGATTTGGGGTTATAATTCCAGTAGCCCTGCATGTCCTGCACAGTCCCCCAGTGAGGTTTATAAGCCACCATACGGTGATGTTGGCAACTAACCCTGGGATGGGTCTGGCCCACACTCTCTGGGGCAATTTGCTGTCTCCTGAAGGCAAGTTCTCGCAATGGCTCTGCTTCCAAACCTGTGCAAGCAAGAGAGTGAATTCTCATTATTAGGACACAGGTTTCTTGGCATATAACCTGTACCAGTGAGAGTGACAGCTGCCCTCAGCCGTCCTGCACCATGTCCTTCAGTCCCCAGTTGTTATTCCTTCAGCCCTGGCAGTGAGCTGCTCCCATGAGTACCACCCTCTGAGTCACAGTGAGCAAGGTTCGCTTCAAAATTTATATTGGACGTGTTTGCTGAGCACGCCAGCTCATTTCCAGTCAGTGGATAAGGGATGCTCCCAGCGGGAAGGCACCACTGGCAGGCAGCAGCAGGCAGCTGCTGGGAGAATTCCTGCCATTGGGGCAGCTGGATCCGGAAAAAGGCATTTGTCCACACCAGTTTAAACTGGTTCAAGGGCATCTGTACAAACTGCCCAGCTTCCTGTGGCCACAATGCTCTGGTGCTTTGTGTAGATGAGGCTCTGGAAAACAAAGGCAATGGCCCCATCCTGAACTTGCTGTGGTCTCCATTCAGCAAGGGAGGGGCACAGCCAGCCCTCAACACATCTGATTGTTCTTCTAGTCTGGTCTCTCTTTCTGCTCAGACCAAGCTTTCTTAGACCATTTCCTTTATCAGGCAGGATACAATTAGCAGGAAATTCCTGGGGTGGATTTCCTATTCTGTGATAATCCACAGTGTGCTTGCGCACCGCTCAGATCGGGGCAGGGGCTGGGGGGTCCAAAGCAGTTTGCAGGATCAGGAAATTGAACCGAGAGAGAGGAATTTGTCTCCTTTTTAATCTGCTTATTATAAGGTATTTTTGTGTAAAGATTGTCCTTTAACAGGCACATCAAAGCAACTTCGCAGAGGAAGGTGTGAGGTTTGTCCTCTGCGTGTGCTCCCGAGATGCTCCCACAGGGCTGCATCTCCTCAGTCCCAGAATGCTTCCCTCGTGGTTTGCACAGCTGCAGCTCAGTTGGAATTTGGCTCTCTGTCGTTGTTTTGGTGCAAGAACCTGTTTTGTTTGTGAAACAACCCAGCAAGAGATTTCTGTTAGCAAACCCAGGACAAAGCCATCCGTGTATGGATGCCAGACATGGGCTCATCTGTGCAAGCATTTTGGAGGCTCCAAACACAACAGTGGGTATTTTGGATATTAAACAGTCCACCTGGGGAAACCTTACTCTATTGGTCTTGTCATTTGGTTCCAAGAGCAAGAGAAAGGGATAACTTTCCCATTTACTCTGCTTTAAATGATCTGTATGATTGTCTGGTGCTAGTACACACCTGAAGCTGGGAACTTCCAGGTGCAGGGAAAAGAGCAGGGATAGGACACTGGTGAGATGATCCAAGATTGTGGTGCCTGTTTTTTTTCAACTTAACAGCAAAATGAAAGCCAAAAATATCACCCAAACACCCCTGATGTGACAGCAAATGAGCAAATTTGCTTTGGCCCTGAATGTGTTGTGAGCTGGGGTGTCTGTGGAGAAGTCAATGCAGTGTTATTGCTGTAAAGATATGAAGGGAAGCAGGCAGAGTGGTGGGAGCAGTGCCCTGTGTCAGAGGGGAGGGTGGCAGTCACAACAGTGACACTGCAGTGCTGGCAGGGAGGTGATGCTCGCCCTCATTTCTATCTTTGACCCCCCTCCCACCTACACAGCCCCTTCTCCAGCATGCCCCAGTTCTTTTCTGGTGTTTTATACCATAGCTGGAAGGCCCAAACTGGTGCAGAGAAGAGTCCCCCATGTGTGCAGGATCCAAAATCCTTTCCCTGCCATCCACACACTGCTGTGAGCCTGTGGATGCACTGCAGCTGCCTTCCCATTCTCTGTGAGTGCAGATCCACCCTGGGGAAGCACAAACACCTGTGTGCTCCCTCCTTTGTTACCAATATCTTAGTTTTCCCACCCATGCAATTATCCCAAAACTGTCTTACAGCTCACACACAGACAGATCAAAGTGAAAACCTGTAATAAGGGTGAAGCTGGAGACTGAATATTTCAAAACAGTGTTTTCACGCTTCCCTTTTCCCAGGTTACCTTTGGCAGACTCCAGCCATCTGTTGTCTGCTTCTGGGTAAGGACTATGCTCCAAAATCCAATGGCCTCCAAAAAGAATCAAATAGAACAGAATCATTAAGGTTGGAAAAGACCTCCAAGATTGAGTCCAATCTCTGTCACCACCTTGTCAACCAGACCAGAGCAGTGAGTGCCACATCCATTTGTTATGGAGAAGGAATTTGTAGGCACCTGGTGCAGCCATAGGAAAGATGCCAGTGCTGATTTTAGGGTGTTTAACAAAATGCAGATTCACAGTGGTAGAACCACAAAAGCTGGAAGGATCAGTGGGAGACAACAGGCATGTCCTCTGCTCTCCCAGCTGCCATTCCAGGCTTCCTGCACGTTTGTCAGCTACACTGCACCTTGTTCCAGAGAGGGTAATGTTAGAAAAAAAGAGGTTTATTTAAATAACTGAAATCCTGGGGCCCACCTCTGCAGCACGTGTCAGAGTCCACGACAGGTGGTGCACAGTCTGATCCTGTGGATGCTTCTTGCTGTGGCTGTTCCAACAACCCCCATCCCCTCGTGGCCTGTCCTGGGAGGAAAGGGTGACCTGAGTGTGATGGGGGGCTGGAAGGGGAGGAAGGCAAGGACAGGCAGGTAGAGGGGAACTAAACAAGGTGAAGTCGATGATGGAGAAAGTTGATGGGGTGAGGCAAAGGAAGGAACGTGCCTGTTGTGATTGTCTAGACACAGGCAGTGCAGTGACCCTGCTGGAGCCCACGTGTGCACCCAAAGCTCTGTCTGACTCCCATCTCCTCCTCACAGCCACCAGCAGAACCTACAGAGCAGCAGGCCTGTCCTCCAGCCCCAGGCCCTTCCCACGTGCCGACAGCTGCCGCAGCAGCCCCGAGCCCGTCTCGCTGTGCTCTTGGACCTTCTGGGACAGAATCATTTCAAAGAGGGTGCTCATCTCCGACAGGAAGGTGCTGGTCAGCCTCGCCCCAGCAGCGTCGGAGGCAGCCCCTGCACCTTTGCCAAAGGTCTCAAAGGTCCTTGGTTTCTCCTGCCTTGCAGCTTCCTCATCCTGGGAGGAGTGGGGGTTGTCGGGGGAGAAGACGTTGTCCTTGTAGCTGCTGGTGAGGGGGAAGGAGAGCCGAGCCATCCACGTGGGGTCTGCGGCCGTGAGCCTCTTGAGGGCCAGCTCTGAGCGAGACAGGGAGCAGGGGAGACAACAGGAGAGAAGAGAGGGGAAAAAACAAGTAAATAAAATGATTGATTAATGAGAGGGTCTCCTGAAATCACTGCGAGGAGTCATTGTGAACAGGTCTGGAGAGAAAATACCAAATCATACAACCCAGCAGCTTAGAAAAGCCAAGCAAAATAGAACTGGGGGGGTTTGTTTTGTTTTATTGTAATAACCATTAGAATCACTTTGCTTTCTCATTTGTTGCAGCCTGGAGTGGCACTTCACTAAATTGTTAGCAAAGCCGGAGAGAGGGAGGGTTTAGGACTGGCTAAAGGGGAGCTGACAATGGAAAGCCTGCAAGGGGGAAGTACTGGACACAAAGATAGTGGACTTCCCTTCAGGGTCACTCCAGGGGGGGAATTTGCTGCTAAGCAGGCAGATTGAGACTGAGAAGAAATGGGTTATTGTGAAAACAATAATAGCAGAATGAAATTCTAGATTATAAAATGCACAGCTGGGTGGTTGAGCACTAGTAACAAACAATTGAGCTATAAAGTGGTTGTTCCTCAATTGGAAACAGCTGAGGAGCAGTGGGAGCCTGGGCTGGGGGTTGGGGCAGGCTCCTTAGTGCACCAGTAATGTGGTTTTGTCCCAAAATGGAATCATCCAGCATGTTGGTCAAGGTATGAAGGCATACAGATGGTACTGTTACCCTGTTACCGGGTCTGGCGAGACCTGATTAGGAGAATCACACACAAATCTGATCATCCATCCGGAGGGGAGAGGAGCTGAAATGACACCAGTGCAGGGAAAACTGGGAATGAAAGCTGGAGTGATCCAGGACAACATGACAGACACCCCAGGAGTGGGGGTTACTGCTCCTAAGGAAGCATGAGCTCCCCAGGGACCTGCTGCAACCTGCCGTTATTTTGGGGACAGAAGCACCGGCAAAGGAAACCTTTAGGCTTAAAATAGTGCTGGCAAAAGAAGAAGTGATTACAACTGTCCATGAATAAACATCTCCTGGAAAAGAAAGGAAGGACCCCATAGCAGGGAGGGCCTGGAATAGCTTCCCCGTCAGACAGCAGGAAAGGAAACGGGGATTCTTGTTTTTTGAGGTAGTTGGTAAACAAGAGTCCGTGCTGAGGAGCACAGAGCTGCTTCCAGCCCCACGTTGTTCCTTCCCAAAGCATAGCCCAGAACCCCTGGGGGACTGGAAGTGACCACCTGGTTTGTGAAACACTATGAGAGCAGTAAACAACTCACGGGTGTCTGGTAACAAAACACAGCAGTCCCAGGGTGGCCAGAGCTGGTGTCACTAATAACTGTGTGGCTCTGACTTGCACAGTGACCTCTGGAAGGAGGGTCCCCATTCTGATGCAGTTATCCTGCTGTTTCCAGAGGATAATCAGCATCCTCTCGCAGCCTGGGACACAGGGTCCCCACACAGTGACTGGGACAAGGCTCCCTCCTCAGCCAACTAGTCCCTTTTCTCTGAAAAATGGCTTTCCTTGGCTGGAATGGGGTGAGAGCAGGGACTTAAACCTGGTAAAGAGAGAAGGGCAAGTGCATCACTTAGGTTTTTGTTTCAGATGAAGCCCCTAAATTTTGTGTTGCTTTGTTTCCAGGATTTCTTTCTGCAATCTCAGTATTCTTTCAGTCACAGTGACTGTTCCTTCACACATCACCCAAGAGTGCTGCAGCCCCATGGTTTGGCTCTAAAACACCCAGTTTTCTCCTCCCAGTCTGCAAGAAGCCACTGCATTCCCTGAATGTTTGGCTGCCTCAGCTCTGGAGCAGGACAGAACCAGTCTGCTCCCTGCAGTGAGAGCCACGACTCAGTGGGCTGATGGTCCTGTGGCCATGAAACGTTTTGATTAGGTTTGTTTAATTTGACCAATAACTCTTTACTGCCTTGTTTTAATGGTGCTTTGAGAGCAGGGGTTGTTTTTATCATCAATAAAGTTCTATCTCTCATCTGCTGCTGGGAGAGGCTGTGCTTGGCTGGTGGGGGTCGGTGTTAACAGAGGGTGCTGAGTTCATCCCACAGCATAAACAACCCCAGAGCTGCCTGGGACTGATTAATCCCACAGTTGCTCCTGCTGGGAACAGCACAAAGGCCCAGACAGCCTCAGCCAGCTGTTAAGATACTCCTGAGCACAAGCAAAGCTTCCTTCCTCCCTCTCAGGATGCAAGTCCACCTCTCTGTTTGTGTTTAGGAGAGGAGGAAGGAGCCCGGCAGCTCCGGCGTCTGCGCCCCGTCTCCTTCTCGGGAAGCTCTGGGCTCAGGGTGAGGGTTTCTCAGCGCTGGAACAGAGCAGCCTCCTTGGGAATGGCCAGCAGGAAGCCACATGGGCACAGCCTCAGCATTCCCTGCTGGCACTGACTGAGCAATGGAACCCAGATCCTTCTGAAAAGAACCAACTTCACATTGTCCTGGTGGGGAATCGTGCTCTGCAAATTTGTCAGGGTCTTGGGAAGGGCTGGATGAAGAGTCCTGGATAACTTTGGACAAGGGCAAGGAGCGATGGAACAAGGGAGAACACACTGACAGAGAGCAGTGTTAGATGGGATAGTGGGAAGAAATTCTTCCCTGTGAGGGTGGTGAGGCACTGCCCAGGCAAGTGGTGGAATCATCATCCCTGGAAGTGTTCAAGAAACATGGATGTGGCACCTGGGGACACGGGTTAGAGGTGGACCTGGCAGTGCTGGGGTGATGGTTGGACTGACAGGGCTTTGCCAGCCTTAATGATTCCATGAAATTCCAGTACTTTGGCAAGAGTTTTTTCCTACCAGATCCAAGAATGATGTGAGATGGCATTTCATGGATCTGCCCCACCAGAGCGTGAGTTTTCTAGGATGCTCCTTGTGGGCAGGACTGGATGCAGAGATCCCTTTGCTGGGATTGGTGCCTGTCAGTGCACCATGAGATGCACCTGGGCTCCTGTTCCCTCCCTGCCCTTGGCTGCAGGACCTTTAAATCCAAAAACCTTTTAGCTCTCACTTCACCCAGCCTTTCCTTCATTTACTCCTTACCAGAATAAAAGAGCAGGAAGGCAAATGGGGAGAAGCAGCAGGTTCTCTCCCTAAGGAAGAGCACCAAAAAATGCCCAGCACTGGAATTAAAACCACCCCAGCAGCAAACCTCAATGAGTTCCCTCTTCTGTGGAGGCTCCACGATGAAATTTCTGCTACAGGACATGAGTCAGCCCAACTCTTTCAAATTGAAATGCCAGTAGAGGAGATTTTTAGAACAAATCAATAAAAGGAACATGTAGAAAATGTCAGGCCCAGATGGTATTCACCCCAGAGAGCCAGAGGAACTCAGATATGAAATTGCCTGGTTTATTAGCTGCTGTTGGTTAACTACTGCTTCAAATGAACAGGGATCAGAGGAGGGGAAGGAGAAATTGTGACAGGAGTTTTTAAGTGTGTGAAGGTGAATCTGGTGCAGGCAGATTCACAGAAATCTTTCTGTGCCTGGCTCAGCACAGGGACAAGGAGGTGCTGTTCCAAAGGGAACCAACGAGACATTGTCAAGGTGGGGAATTGTGTTTTGCAAAATTATTGGAGTCTTTGGAAGGGCTGGATGAAAAGTCCTGGGTGACACTGGACAAGGGCCTGGACAAGGACAAGGGGGAATGGCTTCAAACTGCCAGAGGGCAGGGCTAGATGGGATATTGGGAAGGAATTGCTCCCTGTGAGGGTGGGGAGGCCCTGGCACAGGTTGCCCAGAGAAGCTGTGGCTGCCCCTGGATCCCTGGAAGTGTCCAAGGCCAGGTTGGAGCAACCTGGGCTAGTGGAAGGTGTCCCTGCCCATGGCAGATGGAGGAATGAGATGATCTTTAAGGTCCTTTCCAACCCAAACCAGTCTGGGATTCAATTCTATGATGACAGAGGACACCTGAGCTGGTGGAAAAGCACCAGCCAAGCTCTCAGGGACCTGAGCTGTCCCTGCATCAACAGCCAGGGACTAATGTGTGTTAAAAGCTGGGAAGTGAGGGTAGGAAAAATTAATCTTCCCCACCAAGGGAGGTCATTAGCAGAGTCCCAGAGTATCTGCTCATCACAGTGATAAATAATGTGGAGAAGGGGATGGTGTTGGTGTTGACTCTACTGAAACACACAAAAGCAGAGGGTTGTGAAGGACCTAAGAATGCTGAGAGCCAAGAGTAACATGTGGCTGCTGGATTTCTGTGTCACCAGCTCTTGGACAATTGTCCTAGGGAACAAGATGTCATGTACTGGTGACTCTCCCGCCACGCAGAGGAGGGATTTGGGAGTCACCCCAGACAGTCTGGTGACAGAGCTCAGTGTGGAGCTTGGGCAGTACAGGAAGGAAGAACAAACCAGAAAACCTCCTTATACCCCAGTGTCTCCTGAACGCTGGACACAATTCTGGTCACCACATCTCAGTGAAGACATACACTGAAATTAGCAGCAAGTTGGTCACCAGAGATGAGACTGGATTAGTTCAGCCTGATAGGAAAGAGGAGCCTGATGGGGCTCGACAAGGACAACTCTCCACTTTCTCACTCTGCATGAACTGGGAGATCATAAAAAGGACAGGCTTGGGTCAGGGTGGTGGGAAGCAGATCACCAGGTGAAATGTTAAACTGGACTTCAGCCCTACACAACAACAGAGCTCAACCTCACACATCAGCTAAACAACAGCAGATACATCCATGGGAAAGATCTTCCACAAACACAGGAACAAATCCAACGTGAGGCTCAGCAAGTGCCTTTTTGCTG